TGACAGGACTCCTAGAAAGCCACGTCTGACTCTGTCTTGGGCTCCAAAGGTGGAAGAACTGTTTATCTGGAGAACACGAGTCCTTGATTGGCGCAGACAACAGGAAGTTGCGCTGTTGCCAAAGAGATCCGCGGCTGCAAAAGCGCAGGCCCCGTCTCATGACCTCCTCTGTCACCCATACAGACATGGTTCTTTAATAACACAGAGCGCTAGCAAGTATTGAAAAAAATAAACAGAGACAGAGCCAAATAAATTAGAAATAATACCACTGCTCTTACAAATTAAATGGCTTGACACTTTACATTCATAGCCACAAATGCTCTTAAATTATGCGTGGCTACCAATGTTGCTTAATTACAAAGTCAACAAGGTCAATAAACTGCCAAGTTATGAAAACATTGACTAGCTGCTTTTAGCTAAGTGATGCTAACCTTAGACGCATACAAACACGTATAACGAAGCGACGCATTGTAGTTTCCAGACCGTGAAAAATCGGAGAGAAACGTAGTTCAGCAAAGAGATAAACAGCTACATGACACCACAGAGTTCATCAGTGCTAGGCCAGTCCATTGAAGTTTTCTCACACATGCTACAAGGCGCCGTGTGCACCGCCATAATTCGTCCCCCCCCCCAACATGTACTGTCACGATAGTAGAAAAAAACCCCGCAAATATACAAATTATTAATATATTTCTATTTTAAACGAGCGGAGTAGAAATATGTTTAACGGAAAATATAACACTTTTATATGTGTATTTATTTATTGTCATTGCATTTTGTGTGGCGGTATTCATATTTGTTTGACAAGCAAAAGGTCGCTGGTCCGATTCCATCTGAAGACACAAATCCCTTAGGACTTGCATCGGGAAGGTAATCCAAAGTAAAACTCAACCCGCTGTGGTGATCTCTAAGGACAAAGGAGTAACAAAAAGTGGCTTTGGTATTCTGGGGTTTGCCATACACGGACTCAAATAAGTGCAACGCCGTCCATCCGTCTCCTAGCAACAAACCTTTTTCACCTAGACGCACAGCATGGCAAAATTTGTACTCGCCGGTAGAGCTTTAATTTCATTTTAATCTAATATTTGCCAGTATTTCCGGTACATACACGTGCATTAATTTGTGCAATTTTACCTCGAACAGGAAAAACAGACTGCCCTTATTATGCCAAAGCAGAGCTTTTAGCAGACACCCTCCAGCAGTGTTTGCCAGACTTCAAGATCCATAAGATCTCCATCCTCCCAGATGAATGGAAGGTATCATATTTTCAGGCGATCGTTTTAGGCATATAAATTTAAGGACGTATTGTCACCTCAGCATGACCTCTCTCTGGGCAGGAATGGCTGGGGGCCACGTGTGAAAAAAATAACTGGAAACATGAGGGCTCCCCTTTGGTTTGGAGGGAACTAGTGGAGCAAGGGGGCAAAGGGATGCTCTTGGGGGGCTTCAATGACTTCCTAGAGCACTGCCAGGTAAGCAAAAAATAGATTTTCTCAGCTACAATAACGTAAACTTTTAAAACTGAAAATGTCATCAATTGAACAATGGTTGTGTAGGATTACTACGGCATCACGTCAGACATGACCACAAATGTGATGCTGAGTGTTGCAGCAGAGAATCTGGAGGCCAAAATGAATCTCATCAAAGAAGAGCAGCATCGGGCCAGTCTTATTCAACCACTTCATGTTTGGATAACTGGGTGGGTCTGTTGTAAAAGCTAAAGAGAAAACTCTATTTCCTCTTTTAGGAAACTTTTAAGGACTTTAGCGTGTCTTTATAGTGCTCTCAACCCAACATGCCAAGTCCTGATCCCCAGTCTGCTCTCCCCCGAGGTGTTTCCCAACGTTTCTGCAATCAGCCTCCGCTTGCTGGACCTGGAGGGAAACGAGGAGCAGTTACAGAGCCTGAGGTTGGAGATCGAGGAGCTGGCAATCAGCATGCTCCACCAGGTGCACTAAGACTTACTTATTTGTTTGGTCACATCGAGAGGAAAGCAAAACCATGTCATTAAATTTATTTACAGGTGACTACTGGCACAGATCTGGAGCGAGCCTTCAGGAAGGCGGATGTCATCCTCCTTCTAGATGACGGTGGGCACGATGGAGAAAATGAGGGTGAGGAAGTAAAGAAGAAGAAGGTAAAGGTGATCTCAGAGCGCTACAAAGAATACGGGCAACTGATCGATGCAACAGCCAAGGAGACGGTGAAGGTGATCGTGTCCGGCGACTCGTTTCTCAACCTGAGGTGCTCGCTTCTTGTGGACAGTGCACGCTCCATCGACAGCCACCAGTTTATCGCTGCTGCAGCTCAACTGGAAAACGAAGCCAAGGCTGTACTTGGGAAGAAGATGAGAATGAGGCCGTCAGGTATCTCGTGTGAATTGGTTGACTCATGTTCATGTTGCATTTTAGCACCAGCCCCTGAAATAAAAGACGAATCAATTCTTATGTCGTCTCCTTCTGCAGATATTACAGATGTAATAGTGTGGGGAAATATCAGCGGTACTTTCTACATTGACCTGCAGAGGGCAAAAGTTTTCAACCATGATGGGCCAATCACAGGACCAGCTTTCTTTTCCCAGCCACTTCTAAGCATTTTTCCTGACAGGTCTGTTACCACGGAAACATAAAGACCTTAATTTGTATTTTTTCAGTGCACTTTTAATTCTCCAGACTCCTTGTGAAGTGAGTCTGGAGTCAAACGTGAAGGTGGTTATTTCCTGGTGCCCTAGATTTACCGCATTGGTAAGCTCAACCCAGCTGGGGCTTTGGCAGGGTAAACAAATATAATATGATAAAGTCTGACACTGGCCAGCCACTGGCATGATTTCAGTCTGTGCAAATATTGATTGCACAATACATCTGTCCAGAAAGCTGCCTGCTCTGATGGGAAAAAACCCTGTGTTGGCACACAAGATAATCTTCTTCTCCTTTTCAGGAAATGGTTGGAAACAGACTTTCAGCACTTGGTACGCAGGCGGCGTCTAGCTGTGACTTCAAAGACAGGCCAAGCAGCTGCCACATCAGCTGCCAATGGGATCCTCACTGTCTTGAAAGCTTGGAATGGTGCTAGTGATCCAGATGTTCTGTCTTCGGGTGTAGCTTGCCCAGGTTGAGAATTGGTTTTCAGTGTGACAGAATGATTTTTAAATGCGATTCAGATTCTCTGATTCAGTGTGATCTAGCTTGTTTCAAAATGTGATTGTTTTGGGGTTATTTTAGGGCATTACAGTCTCCCTGATGGCATTGTCTTCTCAGTTCCATTAACCTTCACAGATGGCAAATGGTCAGTAGTGTCTGAGTTGACTGTTGAAAATGAGCTCAAGTACAGGCTTGAGCTCTCAGCAAGTGAACTGCAGCAGGTAAAGTTAAACCAATAATATTAGATGTAGCGCATTCTCGTTGCTTGAAATGTTGCTAACATTTTGACATAATTTAGGTAATTTAAGAAAAATGTATCAATACTATCTTTTCTTTCTCAGGAAAAGCAGTTTGGATCAGACAGCGGCACAACTGAATAAAGCTGTTGTTTAAAGCAAGCATGCTCATTTCCACGTCTATATTTTATATTTTTATCACGGGACTTTTCATCTTTCAAATGTTTTTTTTTAAATCCATGTTTACATTATCCTGGCCCTTGGTTTTTCTCTCTGAAACAAGCTGTTTTAGCTCATTTTCTTCAAATATTCTGGCAAATCAGTTAGCTAGTAAGCCCCGCCCACTTTGACCACCAAATATGGAAATCTGTGTAAAGCTTACATCATCGTGGCACAACAGTAAGTGAATTCAGAGCAGTCTGAAACCAGACCTTTGGCTTCAAGCAACTCCTTTTACATATGCTTTGACTATGTTGTTTAATATGAATATGATTCTCCTGTAATCATAAAGCAAGCTCTTGCATATATACAGTACTGTGCAAAAGTCTTGAGCCAACCCAAATTTCTTTATAAAATATATATGTGTGTATTATTTATTTCCCCAAAGGGGCCAGAGTTTCTTCAGCACTAGTATTTTTGCACCAACAATGTGATTCCCAAAGAAATATTAGCCAAAAACATGGCATAACTTGAGGAAAATGTAAAATTTCTTTCAAATATTTGAGGAAACTCGATAAGTGAATGACAAAAGGAAGAAGTGACAGGCATAACAAATATCTACAGGCGATGAACAGTACCATAACCTTAAGAAATAGGAAAAATCAAGCAATGACCTGCAGAAATACATCTGGCTCTTCAGTCCAAAACATCTACTGTTCACTGAAGCCTCATCAGAAATGTCTCAGTGGAAGGCCGGCCTCATTAAGCCATTCTTAATAATGAGAAACAGGGGGAAAGGATGAGGTATGCCACATTACACAAGAACTGGACTGAAAATCAGTGGCAACAGGTCTGATAGAGTGATGAATCCAAATGTGGAATTATGGTAAAAATGATCAATAATATACAGTATACTTAAGGTCACAATGAGTGTTTACACTTATCTGTAAAACACAGCGGAGGTTCTGTCATGGTTTGGGCTGCATTTCGGCCAGTGGTGTTTGAAAGCTTGTTAGAAATTTTGGAATTATGAACGCAGAAAACTATCATGAGATTTTGTTCCACCATGCAATACCATCTGGAAAGTATCCGATTAGCGAAAACAGCTTCATTTTTCAGCGTGACAATGATCCCAAACTTGGATCGGCCTCCCCAGAGCCATGACGTCAACATTACTGAAGCAGGATGGGATCATCTTGGTGACAAATGGAAGTGCTTTGAATGTCCTCCATTGGAGAACTATTCCTGAAGACTAAAGAAATAACAAGAAAGCTGTCTAAGAGAGTTCAGCATGTGCAGAAGAATAAAGGTGGTCATACCAAATATTGACGTTCAAGCTTGTTATATACTGCATTTCCATTTATGTTTGCACAATACTGTAACAGACACTCTTAAAAACAGAATTTGAAGACCAGTTAATGATTAAAGGTAGTAATCCAGATACGTGTCATTGCAACATATTAAGTTTGTTTCAGTTTGTTCTTTTATTTTCACATGTGCAGTTGCAGTTTTATATCACAGTCTGATCACATTAAACCTGTCCCGCTTTGTGAAACACGTCCAGAGGTTATATTTTTAGACATAAAAGATCAAACTGAGTACTTTATGGAAAAAGGAGAAATTAGAAAATATATTCCTTTTTTTAAATTTTTACAGTTCAGTAAGTTACTTTTTTTTTTTTTTTAACGTTTAAGCAGGATTTTAAACATAAATCACAGTACTACCGTACACAAACTAGTCAGTTAATATCGTTCTCTAAAGCCGACGTCACCGCTCACCGTCCATCTCCACGTACAGATGGTTGGCCTTTTAAAAGTAAGGACACATCAAAACGTTTACTCTCCTCACTGATAATGAAATATTAAACAAGCTGAATTTAATGCACTCTTTAAACCTGAAACATTCAAACTGATTTTTTTTTTTTTCTTCTTCACAAATTGTGCAGTACTTTGTCAGCCGACAAGGAGAACTTGAACAGGGTGCCGTTTTTACATGCAGAATGTACACTTTTTGCATTTCTACACTATGCACAAGGAGGCGCTGACTGAAAAAGAGGAGAAGGTTAGTACAAATGCAGTGCACTACGACAAGTTGGGGGAAACAGACACATTTTGCGCAATGGTATGTTCACTTTGTACAACCCAACCCTGAGACTTGGATGCTGAGTGGTTCACAAGAGCAAAATCGGCTTTTCCATACAGTCGAACAAGGTGCTAAATTTCTTGTTGATGATCTTTTTTTTTTTTTCCCCATCTTGTTTTTGAATACAGATCCCAAACATTGGCCCAGGTACATGACGCAGAATGACAGTATTATTCCCTACAAGAACAGAAAAAAAATTCTGCTCTAGTAAAACTGAAAAATCAACCTCAAATATTGATGTTAAATACATGCGTGATGCATGGCATGCATGAACTTGTCATGGTACAAAGGAGGTTATTTGGTAAATATACAGATCCCAGTAATCACTGTACAAACAGTACACGGGCATATCTAACAGGTCTGTAGATAAATAACAAATTCAATTACACGTGGATGTATGAAATTAAATCCTACTTACAAATGTAAATAAAAATGAGGCATTGATCACACAGAGGAAACTTGGGAACACTTCTCTTATCGTGTCACGTTAAAGAACTCGCATGTGGGTAAAGATCTACTAGCTGTCAACATCCAATGAAGTCAGAGAATCCGTTTTCAGGCAACGAGTGAAAAAACCAGCAACGACTGAATGGGAATTTCTAACTTTGAACCCTAAAGGTGTGGACGCGGATTGGTGTCGTTTTACTCGTCTAACTGTGGGAATGTGCAACTACGATTCAAACCTGGTGTTGTCGTTAAAACATTTACATACAATCTTTATATGGATAACCAAAGGGATAAAATAGACTCTTAAATTCCCCCTCTGCTTTAGTTATAAAGTTTCATCGACTGACCATTAAATTAAATAATTTATAGCATATATTAACAGTTAATCCAACATTCCAACTCTTCCTAACGCCACCTATATAGATAGACATCTGCCTCTGAATGAAAAAACAAGGTGGATGCTTTTAGCCGTGGTACAAAATAAAGGCATCACTGTTGTACTAAAGAGACTGAAATCAAACGGGTTCTTAAAAGAAAAAAAAAAGTTTCTAAACTTTTAATTAAAGCCACAAACCTGCTTTTCATTGAATACACTCCTGTCAGGGGAGCACTCAGCATAACACAAAACCTCTTTACTATAAATGCAATATGAAATGGTGCATTTAATTGTAAAGTAAAGCTGTGTAATTATGAACGCTGCCCGATAGAAGCTAATGACGGTCCTGGTGTAGACACGACTCCCAAGACTTTAACAGACTCTTCTGACGTGAGGCTATAAAAGCAGAACGCACCGAGTATCTCAACCATCTGCCACACAATCACTGACCAACACCCTTTAACTCCAAACTCATTGATAAATGGGTTTTGTATAGCTGTATGCATGAATATAATGTTGTTTTAACATACAAATAAAAGCAAAACATTGGGGGAGGGGCGCAGCAGGGCAGCTATGACTGTGGTTGATGCTGAGGGGATGGAGGTGTGTCTGGAGTTTCTCCCGCCACCTGTCTTTCAGGGCTGATGTCCAACTCCTCATCCAGTTCACTTTGGTCCAAAAGCTCAAAGTCCTCTTCCTCGGTCGGAACTAGTGTGTCGTCGGGGAACTCCTCGCCGGTGCCACTTTCCGTTGTGATCGCCTCATCTGGTTCCTCGTCAGGACCGAGCTCCTCTGCCGTGGTAACTGTAGTGTTAGCAGTGGTGTCGGCAGGTGTCTCCAGAGCGCCCGGTGGGGTTTCGCTGGGAAGAAACTCAGCCAGAGAGGGCTCCTCGCTGGCCTCGCTGGAACGCAGCAGGGCTGACAGAGTGTTCTGCACGACAGTGGAGATGGCAGTGCTCACTATCTCCTTGCTCAGGGCCTCCAAGGAACGTTGTGCACCCTGGGTGACTGCAGGCTCTGTCTTCTCTCCTCCCCCATCCACGCCCGCCACAGGCACCGCGCCCTCTTCGCCCCCAGGTGGTCGACCGTGTCCGTTGAAATGTGTGTTCACAAAATGGAGGGGGGATGCTAGGTGCTGGATAAGGAGGCTGGCGGGGCTCAATGGTTCCCCTTCGGACTGAGTGTCAGCCTGGGCTCCCTCTGCCTGGCCTGAACCTCGCAGAGGAAAGTGAAGCAGACTTTGCTCAATGGAGGGGAACTCCTCCACTGAGGGGAACTCAGGGAGATCCCGCAGGTACGACTCCTCTGGGTCACTTTGTAAACTCTGCTGGTCCAAATCTGCAGTAGGCAAGAGACAGTATAAAACCATAAATAAATGCAAGTCGTGCACATTTAATTTTCACAGTGATATCTTAACGATGAGAGGATGAGGTGACATTGCCCTTATGATAACAATCTGATGCACAGAAGCACGACAATCCAAAAGGAACACTCGCCCACATACTGTCATACTTTCTTTGAAAAGAGCAAAGGAAAGACACTCGGTCTGGCCAAGAGAGAGTTTTGTTGTTTTATTTCGCTAATTCTGTTGGTCTGCATCTCTAAAAATTTGATACTGGTGAATGACATTGCACAGAGCAGCACACACACCTCTGCACACACTCACTATCCAAATTTATTTCTTATATAGACCTCTTCAACTGCTTGTTGACCTAATTATCTAATCAGCCTGTCCAACAGTATCAACTCAATGAATTTAAGCGTACAGACATGACCAAGACAACCTCCTAGAGTTCAAACTGAGCAGAATGGGGAAAGAAGGTGATTGAAGTGACTTTGAACATGGCTGTTGATGCCAGACGGGCTGGTCTATTTCAGAAACGGTTGATTTACTGGGATTTTCCCAAACAATCAGAGAGTGGGCTGAAAATGAAAAAAAAAAAATCCAGTGAGCGGCAGTTCTGAGTGAAAAAAGAAACTTGAGGACAGATTCCTTTGAGCTGATAAGGAGGCAACAGTAACTCAAATGACCTCTCGTTACAACTAAGATATGCAGAAGTGCATCTCTGAAAGCAAACATGTTTAGCCTTGAAGCAGATGGGATACAGCAGCAGAAGACCTCGTCAGGTGCCTCGGCAGGTTGACTGATATAGAAGATTAGAAAAATGTTCCCTAGTCAAATGAGTTTTGATTTCTAGTGCCACAAATAGAATGGTGGGGTCATAGTTCATGTGAAAGCATAGATCCCACATGCCTTTTATCAGTGGTTCAGGTCAAAGATGGTGGTGTAACGATAATATTTTATTAGCACGCTTTGTGCCCCTTAGTATCAACTGATCATCATTTAAACACCACATCCACATGTGAGTACTGTTGCTGACAATGTCCATCGCTGTGTGACGACACTGTACCCGTCTTCTGATGGCCATTTCCAGCACGATAACTCGCCATGCCACAAAGTTGAAATCATATCAGACTCAGTTCTTGAACATGACAGTTCACTGAACTCAAACGGCCTCCACAGTCACCGGATATCAAACCAACAGAGCACCTTTGGGATGCAGGGGAACGGGAGATTCAGATCATGGATGTAGCAGCTGTGTCGTGCTGTCAACTTGGATCATAAAAAAAAAAATATATATATTTTTTTAAACAAGCTTTAATCAAAGTTCAACATTGACACATGACAACTACCTTCAGAGACGTCGGTGAGTTGAGGAGTGGTGGCTCTGGACACCGAGAAGCCTCCACTCTCCAAGATGGATGCCTCTTCATCTGACAGCTCAGAGTCTGTGATGGCCATAGCCAGAGCCGTAGTTTTCACATCCACCTGACCAAAGAAAACAAAATAAATAAAATAATGACGCATTATTTTCCACATTTCAAAACCTGAAAAAGATAAGTATAACCAGACTCCTCTGGTTACTCCACATGCAACAAGTTTGAATTTATTACAAGGACTATAACCTTCATAGCTCGTAGAAGTAATCCAGATTATACTAGTTTGTTTATTTTATTACGTTTGCACCATGCCCTGCAAGTGTTCATTCACAGCATAGCGACTGAATACCTGACATGACACTGTCAGTTACTGAACTGAACCGTGTACTTTCTGCTGTTGCGCAAATGGAATGCAGTTGTACTGGAAAGATAATCCTTCAGGTCATTTGGCACAGCGCAGAGCTCCATTCCCATCAACACGTCACCACATTCATAAAGGTCGGTGCTGACTTCAGCACACTGTGCTGCTGCTGCAGCTTCCTCTGCTAGTCTTACACTTTAAAGCGGCACCCTTGCATATACGTACTCTCTGTGCATTGTGGATTGTGTTGCAGGTGTGGGTCCTTACCGTTGGAGCAAAGCAGGACAGCTCCTCCTCGCTCTCGCTCTCCGTTTCAGCTCTGGGCTCGTCCCCCTCCTCTACCTCCTTCTTTATCTCTGTTTAAAACCCCCCCACACAAACACGTGTTTTCAACATGCCATGAAGGACACCACAACAACAACAACAACAACAAACCACTAAAGGAAGTGATTCAAAGACAGCGGTATGAGAATCAAGTAACCAAGGGAAACTGCGGCTTTACAATGGCTCCTTTTGTTTGTGTGTGCAGAGCCCCTGATGTTGGGTATCGCTGAGAGGACAAAGAAAGGTGAGCTACATCGATTCTTGCGCAACGACGCCGACTTCACTTGAAAGCACGTTGCGGCTGAAAGTGGCTCTCTCACTCACTCCTCTTGTCGTGTTTGCGGTGCTCCGTGTCTCCCTTCATGCTGTAGTCCAGTTTCATCAGGATCGGTTCCAGACCGGTGTACATCCTCTGGATCAGCTCATGGTACACCACCAGCGGCCACAACAGAACGCTCAGCGCTGAAAAGCAGCGTGGAGAATGAACATGGGTTTTTTTGTTGTTGTCGTTTTAATTACTGCACTGACTCCTATTATTACTCACTGCCAGACACCCTCTGTTATGGCTCACCTATAATATAGGAGATCATGATTCCTGGTACGTAATGTCCAACCACAGCCAGAACAAAACAGCCACTGCACATCATCACACAGAACTGGAAAAAAGAGAAAGCGAGAGATATCTTCAGTGTGTGCTGTATTTATGTCATAGAGAACACTTTACTATAGCCGTTTCTAAAAGTGGGATAGTTTATATCACTAGCATTACCAATCGGTTAGTGTGATGCTATTCATATAGTTGACTTTTCCCCCAAAACACCGCTGAAAGGAATAACAGCACTACTCATGAGTTTTATTTTTTTAAACCCATGATTAAAAGGTCCTGCATCCGACATGTACTTATGGAAATGCATCCAAACACTAGTAAAGCTGTGCAAAGGAATCAGGTGATTATTAAAGTGCAGCTCAAAAACACTGGCTGTGTGTGTCACTTCACTCGCCTCACACAACGCCCACAATCCTATTTACAATTCAGTCTTTATGATGGATATTAAGTTGTAACGACTGAAGATAATTCACTGTAATTAATGAGGTTATCGACTTTGTGCCACGTGTGCAAATACCTACAACTCAAAACTAAAGAGAAAGACTTCTGCAAACAGCTGGAAGCAACAGACTAACTTCACCACAGGGTAACGGTCTCATTTTCATTAGACACATCTCTCTGTTATCTGAGCTCTGTTATCAAAACATGTAAAGTTCTGGGTGAAATGTGGCCAAAGCCTAATATTGGAGATGTCATGTTCACTGCAGGGGGGAAAAAAATCTGTTTACCACAAAGGACTGATTCTACGAGACAGGTTTGGGCAGAGTAGAATGATGAGAAAGAAACTGGAAGCTTTTTCAGTTATTTCTCCAAAAGGATCCAGTTTTTCAGTTAGTTGAGCAACTCGCTCAAGAAGGGAGAACAATCACAGTCTAATCTCGTGCGTGTCTATTAACTGACACAATGGCATTCTTTAAGAATTGTGCCGTGTTGAAAGTAATGTGTAAATGTGACTAGATTTACCTTGGAAGTCCGCCATTGTGAGTTTTCCAAAAAGTAACCAAGGTGCACTTTCAGACATATTCTAATTCTGTCATATGATCGAAAACACTTTAAAAGGACATTTAAGGAGTTGTTTAATGTGTTGTTAAGCCTACATTACTTGTTTGAGATTCCCAAAGTCCAATGTCCAAGTCATGTGTTCGTTTTTTTTCTTGCTGTAGTCTTGCACTACAATCAGACTCATTTAGCGAGAGGAAAACGGTGAAGGGGAGGAGTGGAGATGTGGACGTTACTTTTATTTTTAATGTACAAAAGCACAAGAACATGATAGTGAAGTGGGAACTGTCTCCAGGACAGAAACAATTGCATTATGCTGCTAATGCAACATTGTCTCTTTGCAAGACCTGCACATACAGCATGTTAACACAAAGCTAGCCAAGAACCCAGAGGGACGTTATAGCTGAGTATATGCAGACCTCAGCCCAGCAGCTAAAACCTGAACTTCATCAGGTAACAAAGGCAGCAGTCAGGCTTGCATCTGGACACATTTCTACAGCGGAATCATTGTGGCAGTTGCTTAAAAGTCTCTTTGGGCTGGTTTTCAACTTTTCTTTGTGTTGTTGGCTTTGTGTTTACACATAAAAACTAAAATATAAAGATTGTGTGTGTTTCCTTATTCGGACAGGGATCTGGGCTGATGTGATGAACTGTATCCTCACCTTTACATTGTAAGTTGCTGATTATGAGTGTGTGTTTAGGGGCGTTTTATGGAGTAACAAGAAAGTTAAAATAATGAGTAGTGTAATGAATTACTTTCTTTGAGGAATAATTAAGTAATATGCTGCATTACTAAAAGTAATAAGCAATTCCTAATACATTACTTTTGTTGTGTAACAACCCCAGCACTTCTCATGACTACGCTAAATTTGCCTCTCCTTATTGACAGTCTTAGCTTAGTTCATCTTAAACCTGAATATGAATCTCAATCCTTCAAGTAATGAGGCCAGCATATATACAAGTAGTCCCATTGAGCTTCAGACTCCACTAATCACTCAGATACTGAGCGGATATCCCTGACAAGGTCATCTCAGGGATACAGCTCTCAGAGGGCCCCACGCACCTATTGTTCAGAGATTTTTTCAGTTCAGGGTTTTCAGTCAGAAAGTTGGCTTGAAGGGTGGGTGGCTCTAAAGTAAGTAAAGTTTCAGTGCACAAACTGAGAGGAACTAAGAACTAAGTCCCACTGTAATACATTATACAAGTACTATTCTGAACTTTGTAAATAATCATGCAAAGCTCGTCTGTTAAAGTCTGAGAATAAAAATACAGAGCTGGAAAGATGGCTAGAAGAATTGGCTTTTTTCTTAAAAAGAAAGAAAGAAAGAAAAAAAACACAACCTGACAACAATCGCATAAACATTTATACTTGGACTATTAGAGATTCACCCCAATAACATGTGTGCATATGCGTTTCCATGGTCACACCAAAGCACCGTACCTTGCCATGGTTCTGTCGTTTGTACTGCAGCATCTCCTGCAGATACATGCAACAGGTCAGATAACTCTCAGCCAGGTGGTGGCTGAGCTCGGGGATGCTGAGCAGACGCTGCTCTGCGCTCATTGTCTCACTATGATCAAACAAGAACACACACGCACACACGGGAAGAAAAAAAAATTCAACACCTGTGACGGACACAGATCTGTATTTGAAGCAGTTCAGGCTGTACTTATGTTAGCAAAGGTGCAGGTTAGGATTTCATGTTTGCGTAATGATGATGGAGGGAGACAGATGCGCACAAGTGAACACAAACACAACACACTAAATGAGGCAGGGAGCCTGAAATTAATTATAATCACAGAGTGTTGTGTGACAAACGGGTCATAACATCCTACATGGACAGACTTTAATGGATGACTTTTACACTACATTAACACAGGAAAAATCACTGCTTAAGAAAACAAAATCAACTTATTACACTACAAACCTTTGTGCAGGATGAGCGTCTACATGTTGAACTGTAGAAGAGACACAAAAAACAACCCACAATTAGCAAAGAATCTGTCGAAACATCTTTTTTTTCTCCTGCAACCCCAGTTCCACAAAAAGTTGGGCCGCTGTGTAAAATATAAACCGAATGCAGCGAGTTGCAAAAAGTTCCTCCAGCTGTTTCTTTTTAAGGACCGCTTCCTTTTAAAGCCTTTTCCTTCCCCTGTCCCAACAGTTGTGAGACGCGTCGCTGCCATCAAACTCAAAAGGAGCTCATATTTTTCCTAAACATGTTTCTACATTCTATTGTGAATAAAATTGGGCAGATTTGCAAATCACTGCATGCAGGTTTGGTTTGCACTTTCAAACAGCATCACAACTTTTTCAGATTTTAATGATTCTCACATTGAATATTAACAGAATTTTTTCAGCCTTGTAACATATTTTGTGGATGTTTGACTACTCAGTTAAAATAATACCAGAAATCACACGATGTGTGTGAGTGGAGGAACAACTTCAACTTGAATAGAATTTTAGCTTTGTCAGCAATACCTGACAGACAACATTACGCGAACTATTAGAGGAAGGCATCATTGTGATTACTTTGAGACCTTACCAGTAATGATGGGTAACTTGGGCTTCCATCTCTCCAGCAGCATGAGCCCCAGCAGGGACACGCTTATCAGAAACAGAGGCCGCAGGGAGGTGGAGGACAAGATCCTGCAGAAACACAAACACACTCATGTATATAAATTCAAATACGGGGAATCTATTAAAGCCCTATTGCTGTGGTTGAATATGAGCCAAGGGAAAGTAATCAGACAGCAAACTGACAGCTGGTCAACCAGGCCTGAGCCACTCATCTTTACGTCTTCTCTTGAATTGCGGTATTAACAGGTGTGACACCTCAAAATAACCTTTATCTATATAATATAATTCCTTATAGTTAGCAGGGAACATATGCAGTGCCGAAAAGGAAGTTTAAACTGGCTTGCAACCTTCGTTAGCATTAGGCTAAAGACGTGGGATTAGCTAACTTATCTTGACATTCACTCGTAATACCCTCGCTGACGTTAGCCAGATAGCTAACAATGCACTCCAAAGCAGCCTTATCAGTGTGAGAGACAAGCGTGATTAAACGCAGACTCGACGTTTACCAGAATAATGTGTTCAGTGTCAGGGCGACAAAGATGCTGTACAGCGGCCTCTCCCAGACCAGCAGCCTCTGCACCCACAGCAGCAGGAGTTCATACTGCGATAGCCAACCCTGAAGACGCTCCCGCAGGCGAACGAGCTCCGGGTTTCCGTCCCCGCACGCCTGCTCCGACGTCCCCGCAGGGAACAGGGCCTCCAGGCCGACCGAAGAGGAGGTAACCGAGGGGCGTCTTCTGGCCTCCTCTCCGCTCGCCATGTTTCCCCCACTTTGTTATGTTGTTTTGGAGATCACGGGGTATATGGAAAGATGAGGGTCAAGCAGGGCAGAGTGAAAACGATAAAGCTTCCGGTTAAAACTTTCAAAATAAAGTGGGTTGATAAAGAGCAGCGAGTACAGTCGCGTCTTTCTGTCAAGTTTATGTTAAAAGAAAAATTGACCTTGCTTCCGAGAAGACCGCCATAAGATATTCTAATAATAATAAAATGACTAAAATAAAGGTGATACTGAAACGTGCCGTGAAACTCTGATAGCTAAATTTAACTAAACGGAATAGAAAAATGCAAAACTGCAAAAATAAATAAAAAAAAATACATAAATAAACGCCAACTTATACCTGAAGTTATACAGATGCATTTCCATTTCCTATAACAATTGCACAAACACTTGATTATGTTTTGTGTATGTGTGTGTGTGGGTGCAGACTGTGACCTGCGAGTGTATTTTATTTTGAAGGTAACTCCTCTTCCGATCCCAGTCCGTCGCAAAGACGGGTACACAGATGGGCGGACGGATCATACGGCCCGTCAACAGAAAAAATAGAGTCACGTGTTTCCTTGTTTACTGTGTAGAGAAGACGGGGTTAAAGAAAGCCAAAGAGTACCACCCCGTGGTTAGAGATACTGATTGTTATGCAACATTTTATACAATTTTAAACTATTAAATTTAACGTTTTTTTTTTATCAAGATTTCCTCACGCACGTGCTTATTTTCGTTTCATATTAGTTGTTTTTAGAAAACAGATTATTTGTATTTGCACATGACAGAATTCTTTTTTAAATAGCAACGCTTATAAAGATTAAACAGATTTAAAATTTCATTAAGAAAAAACCCAAAGGAAATTAGACTTGAGGAAAAAGAGCTTTTGATGCTCACAAAGCAGGAGATGGATATACAAAGTTATCAGAGCTTTTTCAAGTATCAAAAACTGGAGTGACTTGCCACTGAAAATCTGTGAGATAAATTGAAGGCCAAATACTTGAGGTTTTTTTTTTAGAGGCGAGGCACTGAAAAGACAACACAACAAGCTTAAATACAAATTTAATTGAGAAATGTTATCAAAATCAGTAAACATTTACTGATCAAATGCTGCTTTGTGTTGTGGAGCTGTGCAGATGCATTGAGGCATTAGGGTCCAGAAAGCATATAAACAGCAGTAGAGTTGGGGATTATTTCTTCCTGGTATGAGGGCTCATTTCAGTCACATGCCAATTTCTGTAAAACAAAAAAGAACATTTGTAATCACACTACTTAGAATTGATCTTGGGAGTATGTAGAAAATGAAACAAAGCATCAGTCAAACAGCACAAACACAAAAGAGGGTCATGAGCCAACCTGCCTGGGTGCACTGCCAAGACTCAAGCCTACACAGGTGCTAAAGGAGGGGAGGGGGGCCCTCTTTCCCCTGGTGCTAGGACAAGAGGGCATCAATACCTGCAGGGGTTAAGACCATTGCCTGCAGCAGGTCAGACAGAGAGATGATGCCTTTCACCACATCAGCCCTGTCCACCAGGACCAGCCGATGGACCTGGGATAAGCACAAAGGACTTTTCTTTTATTATCCTTTGACCTCATAATTTCACGATAAATCTTAAAGAGGCTGAAAAAAGTCTACCTCAGCTTTAACTATACGGTCTATAATGGTTTCCAAGGTTTCATATGGATAGCACTTAATAACTCCCTCAACGCAACATATCCGCTTTTCAACAGCCTCCTGCATCGTCATGTCCAGATTGTTGTAGGTCTTCTGGGCTGCTAGGTTCTGCAATGGATCAAAAACGGTATCTGGGAAAGTGTGTGTGTGAACAGTGCTTTGATATTTAAGGAAAATAAGTGGAGTGATAAATATAGTCACGTTAGATTTGTACTTACAATGACATCAAATCTTGAGTAGAGTGCCACCACTTTGCCTGGGAAAACAAATAGTTTGACAATGTAATAACCGGGTTACAAGTCTAACAGTCTTTATTGTTATAGTTTTTTTCTGTCATGTGTACACTGTTTCAGTGGTGGATACACATTAAAGCATGGCCAAAGTGTCAAATGAGGGGGGTGTCATGGTCCCTGGGTCTTGGATCCAGGGCTTTGTGTTCTTGGTGAGGATCACTTATGTTTTAATCGAGCTGTTTTGGATATTGGTATAGTCAATATTTTCCTTTGGAAATTATTATACCGTCTGTTTAGTCTCTGTTTATCTTCTTGTTCTTCTAGGTTACGCAATGTTTTGTTATCGTGCTTTGTGCTCCCTTCCTGTTCCTCCGGCATGTCCCTGGGTCTGCCTTGTCACTCTGTGTTCCGTCTCCCTGGCTTTCTGATTTCCTCTTTTGTATTTCCATTTTGTTCCTTCTACCTTATCTCCATGTTTGTTTATCTTCTGTCTCTTTGTCAAGTTCCTATGGGTCTCTCTGTGTGTGCCCGCGTTTATTTTGATAGTGTTTTGTGTGCTTCATATTGTTTTAATTCCCCTGCTTTGTTATCCTGATTTGTTGCGGCTGTCTTCCCTGGTGTTTCCCCATCTTCCTAATTACCTGGTGAGTATTTAAGTCCTCGGTTTCCTGCTGGTCATTGTGTCCTCCCTTGCACACTTCCTTGAAGGTTTGTAGTGGTTGGTTTTGATCTGGATTATTTTGTACTCAGTTTAAGTTCTGCAGTAAAGCTGTTTCTTAGAGTAAACGTAGTTTCCAAGTCCTTCATTTGGGTCCAACACACAGTCAGCCTTGATAAGTGTATATACAAGTGATCACTGTGAGCCAAAAGCTCAGGCTTCAGACTGGCGTAAATTATTCTTTCCAGTAGGTTTTTCTTCACGGTATGACATCATATACAGTGGATGTCCCTCAGGACTTACCCATCTGCTGTTCAAGCTATTGTTTACAAGGGGCAGGCAATCAGAAGCATCAATCTATCTTTGGATTGTGGGAAGCACAGGGAAAGCATGCAAACTCCAAACAGAAATGCCTCTGGCTGACTGCTCACTTCAAACCTAAGACCTTCTGGCTGTGAGGCAGCAGTGGTAATGACAACGGCACCATCTCAATATAAGGCAGTGTGGCGGAGGCGTGGCCCCGGGCGCAGCTGCAGGGGAGGAGTGCAGCAGAAGGCTCAACAGGGCGGCGCTGCGAGGCCGGTAAGAACAGCTGATGGTGTTTATGTACTGATGATGGTCTCCCTCCGCTGTGTTTATAGTGAGACGGGGAGGGGCGGCCAGAGGAGAGATCAGCTGGGCTCGTGAGCTGTCAGACTGTACGACTGAGTCAGCTGTCAAAACTCAACACTCAAAGCTTCAATAAATGTGGAAGTTGGCAGTACATACCTGTGTGTGCGTGTGTCTGTGCCTGGTGTATTCCACAGGCAGATAAGCATTATTGTGACCAGTGAATCGTGCAGAGCTACTCTTGTGGGTTTGTAGAATATATACATGGTGACAGCGACAGCTGAGTATAATGTACCTTGTTCATCCACCACTGGCAGCGCAGACACCCGCCTCTCCACAAATATAGAGAGGGCATCATAAAGCGATGCAGTTTGCTGGACAGTGGCGATGTTCCTGAAAGTTCCTATCCCAAGTTCCTGGATCGGCCTCTTTGTGAATGCAGGCTTGGGAGGTTTTTTCCCCTAAAAAAATCCAAACACCCATATTTGAAAAACAAAGTATCATGGTACTCAAGGCTACAAAAAACATCATAACTAAAGCTTTTGCTCACAAATATATGGAGGAACTTGAGGATTCTTTTGTGGGTCAGAATGTGCAGGACATTCCCAGACTCTGGATTGATTACGGGCAGCCTGTGGATTTTGTATCTGAGTAAGGAATAGATGGCTTCGAAGAGGCTGGATGGAGAAGAGATAAGAAGAGGAATGCCTGCCAACTGGAATTTGAAACAGAGGTGCCTCAGAGTGTTGTGTCCACTCACCTGGCCTCTGGAGAGATACTAATGAGGAAGTTATTGGAATACTGCAAATAAACATCTAAACAGAAGAGGAGAGAAACGGCTCAGATGAATTTCATAGACCTCTGGGCACAGATGATGCCATTCATTCCTGCTTGCATATTTACTTCGAAGGGAATCACCTCTCCATGTTTCTATCTTGTGGCTCTCAAGCTCATACATCTGAACCTTAAAAAAAACAAAGACGACAGGCATTTTTATAGTTGGTAGCAAGAAAATAGGAACTTTTCTGTCATTTAATAGTTTATCTGTCACATGGGTGTAGTATGAATGGCTGTGCGGGAGGTCTTTATCCGTAGGACAAGTTGTAAAATTTACGAAAGTTAAAAGTCAGAAATGTATGCCCTCTTTCACATGTTTCTAAAACGTCCAGTGGGCCAGATTGGAGTTTTTCCTGGGCTGATTGTAGCCCCGAGTCCTTTGTTTAACTCTACAGTAGGGGCGTCCAACCTGAGTGGCTTCAAACTGTGGGAATTTAGTGCTCACCATGGGGGACTTGTAATAGCAGTGAAGGATGTTGATGAAATCTGTAATAGTCAGCATACCTGTGGCAGAGGAGGATTCACATTCCCATTATTACCAGTGAGTGAGCCCAGTCTACCATATCTGTCCCATTAATCCGTCATCTTACCCACAAATCTCTGCAGCTTGCTGTCCCATAGTGGTGCAGCCCTCAAGCCATTTGCCACCAGTGCATAAAAGGCTTTTTTCACCTTTTGGGGTTAAAGATTTTTCAGTCAGTGATGTTTTACAGGTAAATAACACTACTCTGTGACAATTCAATATGAAAGTCTAGATGTGCAACAGCTCATGGAAAAGCTTCAGGCTCACTTGTAGTGTGGTATCAAATATGACCAGTTTACAGCTGGTTGGAATGGCATCATAACAGCGGTGACTTTTCATGAATTTCATGTAGACTGTGGCATCAGCCTCTAGGAGAAAATACACCAGCTGGTCACAACACACTGTTTGAACAGGGTTCAGCAGTTATAGACGAGGACATATTCATGCGTGCACACACACAGCTATAAAACAAAGGAAAGTGCTAACAGCACAAAGCCAACAAATGCAAATACACATATGCACATTTCCATGCACAGATCCAAACCCAGACAACTGCCAGGCATTGTACCTTGACTCTGTATTTCCTGCTTCTTTTCTGGGAATGACACCTATAACATATATCACTGTCAACAAAATCCCCATGGCTACTCATTTCCTTGGTTTCAAAAATATTATCAACCTCCCAGACACCCCCAATCATATACATTTCACCTGTGAACGAGGCTCCATGACTCTGTCTTGTGTCCATGAAAAAGTGGTTTTCAAAGCAGGAAACTGAGACCGTTTGTTAGCCTTTTCTACAAAGCAGCTGGGTCTATATTAGGAGTTCTCAAATGGTATGTGTCAAGCCAGGAGTGTAGGGGAGGGGTAAGAGAAGCTTGGCATAGAGTCAGGGGGGAGGGACATCCCATATTCAACCAAAACCAGACATCTGTTTTCCCCCTCTGTAAAAATGCTCATCCAAAACGTTTATCCTGGCCCTTAAAAACATGGAATAGCTTTTCAACTGTTATGGGATCACTTAGTGCAATCCCATAAACCCTCATTTCTTCATATTTTGCCAGGAAAGTGTGATATACAAACATACTTATATATATATATGGAAATACAGAATATAAGGCAAAAATAGTTTGTACAATTCTAAGAAGCTCGAAAGTCAATATTTGGTCAGTATTAGACTACCGTTTATTCAGTCTGAACTCTCTTAGGCAGCGTTCTTGTCATGTCTTTATGTAGTGTTCAGGAATAATTCACCAGGATTCTTGAAGGACATTCAAAACTCTTCTTTGATTGTTTCTGCCTTTTCTTCTGTTCTCTGTCAACATGATCCCACGCTACTTCAATAATGTTGAGGTCCGAGGTCTAGGTAGGCGAATTTATCCGTGTGTTTTCCTACCCAGGTACGCTTTTACTGCATTGGCAGTGTGTTTGTGATAAATGAACCCACTGCCAATCAGACACTTTTCAGATGGTATTGCACGGTGGATTAAAATATGTTCCATCAATTTTCACCACATATCCAACACCACTGGCTGTAATGCAGCCCCAAACCATGACAGAGTGTTCTGCACATGGCTATAGATAGTAACTGTTATACCTCTTTCCTGACCTCCTCCATAAATACTGAGGATGAGTTGAACAAAAAATAAATAAGTAATTGAAAAATCAAATTTGTTCCCCTTCACTTGTCAAGTTTCCTCAAATTTTTAAGGATACACTGCACCCCCTGCCAAGACATTTCAGGTAAGAGCTCTTTGGGAATTACCCCAAAATACCATTTAATACTAGGGGTGCAACGATACACAAAATTCACGGTTCGGTTCGGTTCGATACTTTTGTGTCACGGTTCGATATTTTTTCGATACAAAAAAATGTTCATGCATTTTTAATTTGTCATTTATTAAAATTATAAATATATATTTTAACTCAAAAGTACAGTTTTTAAATTTAACCCTAACCCTTGTGCGTGTTTTTTATTTTGACAGTGAATGCGCACCTGCGGACCACTTATGTGCAGCCCTGGTTATTTAGCTCATCATTTTGCAGCCACAGAAATTCTTTTGTCCATGAAACCATAAAGCTGCACTTTCTTTTTGCCTTATAGTCTGATTTGTCATAACTTCTCCGTTTTGTGGTAAGCTTTTCTTTGGCTGTCACTTCTTCACCCTGACCTGTCTTATTTGGCTCAGCAGAACTGAAATGCTTTTACACGCTCACTCACATAAGCTCAGCGATTCTCTGCGCGATCAACCTCTCACATGTGTAAGCTGCGTGAGATTTCACTTGTCATGTTTGCATAGTAAGCTAACGATTAATAAGACGATGTCAGAGGAATTGGTGCACAAATTATCATCACTCACAGATCAGTGCTGTCGCTCTCTATACACAGTTCGCACGATTGCAAAGTGAAAGCAAAAAAACAAGCGCAAATTCAAACGCGACTTCAATATGTCACATATTGACAGTGGCTCACCGATGCCAATGACATAATTACCCAGCTACATTTCTGAAAGAATGCAAAAGCATTGACATATATTTTTCCTACAATAGCCCGACGGGCAGGGCAGAGATAGATTTTGGTAGCCCGACTGAAAAAAATCGCTAGCTCCAGGACGTCGGGCTAGCGATATTGCGAGCCCTGTATCTGATTGAGGAATCACTCATCTTTGGAAAAGAGAGTTTATTACAGAGAAATGGCTCTTTCCAAAATAAAAGCTATACTATCCGCTTCTTCTGGGCTATATACTCAGCAGCATAAGGAGAATCATGTGCTAACAGCTGTCTAAATGACTCGGCTAAAGTTAGTAGCATGCTTGCTTTTTTTTGTCTGCTTCCACTTGTCTTTGCACTAGGATGATGTCGGCGTAAATGTGCAGTCATATTCGTTGTGTTCCCACTAGTGCTTTCAGGTTAATCTCGTTGAAATGACCTTAACACCACAACATGGCAAATCTCCGTTAACGAGCTACCGCCGATCACTCCGTGCATGGGGCTAGACGGCCAACACGTTAACGAGCTAACTGCGCTAACACACTAGTTCACACCAATGTAATTGAGCATTGCATGGCACATCCAACATACTGTTTTACTTTAGTCCATGACTCGCTTACCTTCAGGGTCATACGTCACATGAAAACCAAAATAATTTCAAACGCCAGATCTGAATGAGGTTCAATTTGCCTGTTGCAAGTAGAGCTTAACTTCTGTCTCGCTAGCTTGCCCTGCGCTCTTCCTTCTGACTATGCTGTCTGTGTTGAGCGCTCAGTGGATCTGCGCTCGACAGTGCAGCCTAGGCGGAGTAGTCGAACACAGATTCACTGAGCGCTCAACACAGACAGCATCGTCAGAAGGAAAATTGATAAAAGAAATTACAAATGTTGTATTGTTCGATACATATGCGTACCGAACCGAAAGCACTGTATCGAACGGTTCAATATCGATACGAATATCGTTGCACCCCTATTTAATATCTGTAAGAAGAAATGGGAATAAATAGTGTGTTTTTGCAGTAGGCTGCAAACAAAGTGACTCAAGTTGTCTGTTATGTCTAGATACAACATTTGTTAATTCCTTGAGTTTGGTGCCCTTATTTAATGCTTGGGACATTGGTCAGAAGTGGTTTAGTCTGTTTTCTCTCATTTAAAGGTTAAAAGTTCAAACATACAGTTTCACATTTACTGAGATTCAGCGTGGCTTCATTGTATGTTGACACAGAATTATATACAAAGTATCTCAAACAAATGCGGTCTTTATTCTTTTTTTTGCTACACATTTTACATTATTTGCATTTTATAACATGTACAAAATTTAAGGGGTTCACGATCCAAAGTGTATCAAATTCAAAATTCAGATCAATTTGTTAAAGGTTCAATTACAAAGGAAATGTAGATTTGTAGCGGTGTAGATAAAAATAACCATTTCCCCTCTGGTGTTGAAAACATGACAATAATGCAGTAACAATGCAAGATGATGTTCTACATCAATGAAAATGGAGCCAAAAAGTGCAAATCTCCCGCAACAAAGGAAGGTTGACATTTTCCTTTAAGACATTACATGCAAACAAAAAAAAAAGCTAGAGACTGCATGAAATCACAGGAACACATCCTTTACAAAGGTGTTCCACCTGGCTAAGACCCTGTTACAGGAAAGTGACGTAAGTATTATATTTTGTTGCCATATCACATCTGGTAAAACAGAAAAAAGACAAAAATCAGCCACCATAACCAGAATATGTGGAAACGGTGTGGCATGTGACAGTAACACAAAGACACGGTTTCAACTGTCTTGTCTCCTGTCCAACCATTTCTCTTCCATGATGTGGAACGTTCTCAAACCTAGAAGACAACCGGATTTTATAACTAGCTATCAGTGCCAACAGTATGTGTATGTGAATGACCAGTGTCTATTGCAATCCTCAAGCTGCATCAAAGAAAGGTATATGGCTACACAAAACGAATATGAATAAGAAAATTTAGCCTGGTTTAAGTCCCTTCTTCATTAAAAAAATAAAACAACTTACTATGAAACTTTCATATATGCTTGGTAACCACCACACACATTCATTAACCTGCCAAATGTGAACAGCTTAACGTGGACATGAAACACTACATATATAAAAGCTAATTTACACCATTGAGCCCTGCTCTCAAAAACTGACGTAGATTTAACTCTGTCTGTGAAACTGGCTTTAAAAAAAAAGTGCCCAAATTGAAAGTTTTTAGAATATGTTTAGCGCCATCTTGTGTGAGTACAGAACGTTGTGTCACTGTAGTTCATGTAAGCTAACTGGTAACAGAAACAGTAATTAAGGGGAAAATAAGGACACTTAAAATAAAAATCAGTTTAAGGGGATCACTTTTGTGCTGCCCCTGGCTGTAACAATGAGATTTATGTTAGAAATGAGGCTATACTTTCTACTTTAACTCTCCATCTCTTAAGATGTAAATGGCTCGTTGTTGTTTGGCTAGCTGCACCGAATGGGAAAATCCACCTGCTAGCTGTAAGGGCAGGTTTTTAAAGCTCTTTATAAATGAGAATAGTGTGGAGGAGAGCCTGTTTGAGTCAGCTGGAGGGTGTTTCAGCAGACCGACGACCGGAAGTCAGAAACTCTGATTTTTCCTCGTCTGGTCGTGTGTACCAAGCTGCACAATCAGCTGATGTGATCAGCATTATTTTATGCATTTTTTAAAATCTTACAAGTGAGGAAAAGTAAGTGAAGGAGATTGTAATGTGGATGTAACCTGTGATATAAACTGTTTAACTGTGCTTGGGAAAAGACAGGACATTTTATTAGATAAAACAGCGCTGATCACATCTTGCAAACATCTGCTTTGTCAGCTGATTGCACAGCTTGGTGAGAAAAAGCTGTTGTGTTGGACTCCAGATTGTCAGTCTGGTGATTCAAACAGGCTCTCCTCCACACTGTTCTCATTTATAAAATGCATCAGAAACCAAAACATAACGACTAACAGGTGGAGTTTCCTGTTTTGCGTGCAGCTAGCCAAACTACCTAAAACCACTTACTGCTTAAGAGACAGAGAGTGACAGTGGAGTCGATTTGTTAGCATGAAACTCATTGTTGCAGCCAGTGGCAGCACAAAAGTAACCCCCCAAACCGATTTTTAGTTTTAGTGACCCTGTTTTCCCCTGAGTTATTGGTTCAGTTATTAGTCAACTAACATAAACTAATGTAAGTCTTTTTTACTGCAACCAACCCGACGATATCACGGTCTATATTGACACAAGATGGCGCTAAACATGTTTTATAAACTTTAACTTCACTTAATTCGTAAATCCAGCTTAACAGACAGTATTACAT